TCTCTCTCTCTCTCATTTTGTACACCCCTTCGCCCCCCGGGTCTTGTTTTGTTTCTTTTGGGCGAACACCGGCAAGTAGATGGGATACCAGTCACGGGTCTGTTACTCTTTTTAGGGCTTATGTATGGGTGCTACTTGTTTTCTTGTTTCTACCCCCGCCCCCCTGCTACCCTCCCTAGCTATCCTGCACACACCTAATGGTTGACTCAGGAGTTGCAGAATGTCTGACGGTGCCCGGTAGGCCCTTTTTTTGAGGGTTAGGAATTTATAAGGGGTCAGTGAAAACCTGCATGGGAAAGAGGCCCTGCTGGTTTAAAGGGGTTGGTGCGTGAACTCATTCTATCCATCTTGTGGCTAACATCTGGGCTGTCCACGCCACTTCGGCCTGCTCGGGCGGCCTGGTCGAGCGTGGGCCCGGAAATGTCCCTGCACAGGGGGAAAAAAAAAAAAAGTGTAGAACAATCAACTAAACAATGGCTCAGTGTCACTCGGATTCTTTTCCACAAATAAATAAAGTTTAATAAACACTGAAATAAAAAAATAAAAAATAATTTCTTTTTTCTTTCACCTTGCTTGGCAAGTTGTCCGTGACCACGCTGGTATAGCACAGATCCACATCTGATTCAAACAGGATTTGAACTCGTGACCTGTTTATCGAAACCGGTCAGGAGCCGCTCTTTCAGAACGTTGTTTTTGTATTGAATACTTCGGTTTTCTTTTCGGCCCGGCCGGGCAAGTGGACCCGGGCCGCTCTGGTAGCCTAGTAATTATGTCATTTGATTGTGGTTCTTGTTATGAGTCTTATGACCCCCTCTTTTTGTCTGTCTGTTTGTGGTCTTATCCATTTTTATGTCGGTTTCTTCGATCTGTGTGCAGACGAACTGGTTGGACGGACGGCACGTTGTATTCGGCCAGGTATTGGAGGGTATGGACGTCATAAGAAACGTTGAGGGCCAACAGACCGACCGAAGGGACCGTCCGAAGAACAAATGTGTCATTGCAGACTGCGGGGTCGTCCCACTCGACGCATAATAATGTATAACTTGCGAAAGGTCCTTTCTTCCCTTTTCTGTTCTTCCTGCTATTTCGTTTCCTATTCTCTTTCTCTCCCTCTCTCTCTCTCTCTCTCCATGCAACAAGTGGCATGTCATGAGCAGAGCTTTGGTCACCTCCTTTTAGAAACCAGGTCTGATAGACCTGGTTTGATAACCAGGTTCGACGACCAAGTTTGATAAACCAGGTTTGACAATGAGATTTGACATACCAGGTTTGATAAACCAGGTTTGATAACTGGGTTCGATAATCAGCTTTGAAATTAACTGAGAATGAGCTTTGGTAACACCAAGGTTTGGGAACCACATGGTTAACCCGTTTGACCAGCTGCCTACAGGTGATGAGGTCGGAGAGGTAGACTTGATAACCAGATTTTTGAGAAACAGGTTTGATAACCAGATTTTTTAGAAACAGGTTTGATAACCAGATTTGATGGAGAAAAATGCTAGTTAATTACTAATTAGGTTGTATAACCAGATTTGATAACCAGGTCTAGTTATCGGAGCTTTGGAAACTGGGGTCGGGTGGGTAGGTAACGCTTTCTATTTACAGATAACTTGCCGGTTGTCAGGGATCGGACATTTTGGTATTTTGTGTATCGCCAGCAAATGGGCAGTTTATGTGTGGACGTGTGCGCGCACGCGTGTGTGTGTGTGTGTGTGTGTCTGTGTGTGTGTGTGTGTGTGTGTGTGTGTGTGTGTGTGTGTGTGTGAGAGAGAGAGAGAGAGAGGGTTTCGCCTTTGGAAATTTTTGAGAACGGACGTCTGTTTTTGTCTGGTTGGAAAAGGGGAAAAAAAACAGATGTGGACCTGGCAATTTCCTTTTCTGGAAATAGTTTGTCAACACATTTGGTTCTCTGCATGCATTCTTGCATCGTAAGTGTCCTGCTCTCTTCTTGTCTCTTATTTTGCCCCTCAGTTTTTTCTTATTCTGACTCCCCTCTGCCCCTTTATTTTTTGGGGGTTTTCAGGCACGACTCATTTGGCCTGGATGTTTTTTGTCCAGGCAAAATCAGAGGCTGGTGAATCCTGTCCGATGTGGTGTGCGCCTATACCTAGGAGAAAATTTGCTGGGAAACGTGCTGCTAGTTTAAGATTTGCTATAAAAAAAAAAAAAAAAAAAAAAAAAAGATCTGCTGAGTCTAAAATTTTTAATGAAACAATACAATGTGCTCAAACAAGAAGATGCAATTGAGCAACAAGGAATAAGCCATAGCGCACCCGAACAAAGAAACCCCCAGGGGAGGGGCCCAGGGAGGAGTTGGACAAAGGCAGGTTCCCCCGGGACAGGGACAGGGGAGGAGTTGTCAGCAGAGGGACCCCCCTTGGATGAGTACAGCGCAGGGGGCTACCCCCTCTTCAGAGGGGACACAGCTCACAGGCTTGGCCCAGCGTCGGCCGATGGCCACAAACCATCGGCTTAGAGTTCAGGGAGTGGATAAAGTCTCTCAGGGCGAGGACGTTAGAGGGGTATGGAAGCATGTAAGGACTGAGAAATGGGATACGCTGGGCCCAGTTCGCAGTATGTGGCGGTCCCCATCATGAATAAGGAAGGGGGCATGAACGGGGAAGCTCGTACACTACGTGCGTGGTTTCTTCTCCCTGCCCGCAGCAGGGACGAAGCTAATATCCTCAGTCAATCCCCTGATTTTCAGGGTAATCAATGCTGGCAGGTGTCTTCGATATGTTTTTTTTCTGAAGATCCTCTTTTGACAATTTGTCCTTGTGACGCTGGACCCGTTTTCCAGCAGGTGATGCTCCCCACCAATAGATGGAGCCCCTCCCTGAGCGGTAGTGGTGTCTGCTCTTATCAGCACCGAAGCTAATGTGAACAGCAATTTGAAAAGAACTTACGTAACAGGATCCCTTGCCCCTTGCGACCCCTGCTTTTTGGGGCTCCCCATGATTTCCGGCCTGTGCGACGGGATTACATAATCGCGCTGCACTGGCGGCTGGTTCTCATGTCGCACAGGTTGGAAATTATGTGATTGAGCCCTGCTGGTTTCACGACCAGGTCCCTGCACGCCCTGCTTGCCACTTGTCCCGTGTGACAAGCGGACCTATAGAACAAATCCTCTCGGCGGACTGTGGAGTTCTCTGCTTAGATTGATGATCACGACTGTCTGTGTGGAAATGTTTCTCGTGCCATCTCAAAAAAAAAAAAAAAAAAAAAAAGGAGTGTCTTGTGCCTCACTTGTGAGAGTGTGAGGTGAAATTGAGAGAAGAACATAGCTTAAAAAAAAAAAAAAAAAGATTCATGAATGAGTCTAATGGTACTGCTCATTGTGGTACCCATCATGGGATGACCGAAACGCGTCTTTTGCCCTTGCTGATCCTCCCCTACAATTTTGGAGGCCTGCGACAGGGCGTCTCACGGGCCATTGGAAAAATACCCTGCGGTGGCATCGGTCCAGCATTGATGTGGGAACAAATAAATTGCATTGATGTGGGAACAAATAAATTGCATGCCCAGTCCCGATTCCCCTAGACGAGCCCAGTCCCGATTCCCCTAGCTTTCCGTAGAGCCTCTTTTGAATTTTCCACGTGTACTGTATGATTAATGATCTCACTTTTCTTGCATTTTTTTCCGGATGACAAAAATACTATGTTGTATACTTGTGGATATTGGACCACTACTACCTTTGCCGCTTTCAGAAATGAGGGAAAACGCCAGTACCCGAAGAATTCGGAGGCCGGGCGTGACGAAGGCTGCCATTGATAAATCTAATCGGCGGCCGTCATTTCGTTTCCGCCTGCTGAAAGTTCGAAGGACGGCTATTTTACGAACCGACAAAGATACTAGTGGTTGACTATGTCTCAGAAAATGGTTATTCCCGTACACACACACACACACACACACACACACACACAAAAAAANAAAAAAAAAAAAAAAAAAAAAAAAAAAAAAAAAAAAAAAAAAAAAAAAAACCTGGAGCCTTCAAATATTGGCAATAGCATGTGGATGTTTTTCAGCGCGGCATGTGTTCCGTTATGTGTCGGGAAAAGTCGGTTTTTGTCGACATTTTTTTCTGACAGTGGCCAATGGCTAAGTATGTCTTGTGCGAATGCTTTCAAAGTTAGCTTTCCACTAGGCTGTTTTTCTGGGTGCCGGGGCATCCAACCTTTGCCCGGTTCCACGCCTGGGTGCCCGGGCGGGCATGACCCCCGGGCAGGGATCCGGGAAGCCCCAGCGCAAGAAAAGAAAAGGAACAAAAAAAGTAAAAAAGATAACCCTGGGGAAAAAAGATGTTCTGCAGAATTGCAAAACGAACGCCTTTTGTGTCGAGGGTCACATTAGAATATTCGTCACAGGATCGGAGATTAAAAAGAACAAACATAACAGAATTACGCTCAAGTTGTGGTTCAAGTGGTGGTTGGGAGATAGGGCTGCGTGTGCGTCGGGAAGGAAATTTCCTGGTTTTCATTACGACTTTGGCTTCCTGCGGATTGCCCTGAATCTTGGTCCTTAAACTACCAGGACCCCAGGCCCAGGGGGTCTTAGGCCCCCTCTGCGGAGGCTCGGAGGCAAATGCATATGGACCTGCGCGGTGCACCGATTCAGCCACCACGTTAACGGCCTAAAAACGTGGAGGTACTGGTGGTTTAAAACCAGCCGGCAGTACTTGCTGAAGTTGTGGCCGTAAACAAACCGTGAGTTTACGAAAAGTACAGGCCACTACAAACGGTCCAAATTCGTCCGGCTAGAAATGGCTCTACGCTATATTCCCTGCTGCCGACAGTTGGGCCACCAAGTACAGGCGGTTTAATCACTCACAGCCTGATCATCTGACACCGGGGGCACATAGAGTCAAGGTCTTTGTTTGTCATTAAACCACCAGCACTTCCTAGAGTCGTGCCCGTTAACGTGCCACAATTTTAGGAAACGTACGGGGTACTGTAGAAGTGCCCAAATTCATCCGACGAGAAATGTTTTGACTCATTTTTTTTCCGCGGCCGATAGCTGGCCCAAGTACTGGTGGTTTAAACTGTACCATCCGCTGCCTCGAAGGGTCGGTTAAAACTTGACTGGTTACTGTGCGGGAGTGTGTGGACCTGTCCCCCAGCCAATCTCGCAATCTGGGGCTAAGTTCCAGCTAGCCGTATTGCTCATTTCTGGGCGTGATCTTCAGAATCGATGGTGCCAAATTGGGAATTCGGGTGAGTGGGACTTGGCCCCTGGTATACTATCATCGGAATTGGCATTGCCTTCAGCAGATAAAGGGGGGTTTTATATAAGCGGGGTCCACTCGCAGTGCCCAAGGCTATACATGAATTAAGCAAGGACGGGGACAAGACCCACCACCCGACGTTGTGAAAGTTGGGGGACCGGTAGCACATGTTCATGACGGCTACCGGTAGCACAGTAGGGAGAACCGGCAGAGGCCCAAAAATGAAAAATCCGACAAATTGCCGCCACCACTTATTTCGTGGTTAAAACGATTTTTAATTTAAAAAAAAAAAAATTTCCCTGAAAGATCACGACCAAATCTATGGACCCTCCAATTTTCGGATTTTTTAATGAAAATTTCTGAGCGTGAAAAATCGCTGAAATTGGGGTACGTTTTCCATTGGCCCACAAGTAATAGAGTGGCAAAAATCAAGAATGAGACAAATTGGCGCGGCATTTATTTCACTGACTAATTTTTTTGCTAAAGCTTTTTAAATATTTTTCGTGGAAAGATCACAACCAAATCTAGAGACTCTTCAATTTTCAAAGTTGTCAAGCCATTCTTCGGAGCGCAAAAGTTCACTGAAGTTAGGGTACTCTTTTATTTGGCCCACATGCTGCAGTGGCGAAAATGAGAAATGCGACGAATTTGTGTGGCATTTATTTCATGGTCGGAAAGAATTTATTTTTTTTTCCTGATATTTTTCCCGTAAAGATCACGACCTAATGTACAGGGTCTCAAATTTTCAGATGTTTTCCCTTGTTTTTATGAGTGCGGAAAATTGCCGAAGTTGGCGAGTGAAAACTGCCGGACTGGACCCCGTGCGCCTCCCGGTGGCCCCCCTCCTAAAGACTTTCTCCGAACTCACCGGAATGCCACTCGGGTAGAGTATTGGTTGAATCTGGATGTGTTTGTGGCGATGTGTGGTTGAGGAATTTTTGCACATCTCTGCCGGTTGGGCCCCCATCTGTGCCCCTATCGGGCACCGTCCAACTTTGCAAAATGCCCCAGTACTTGCCAACTTTTCCTAGGCACTATTGCAAAGGCCAAGGCCCAAATGGGGAGGTCCAGATTGCAAAATTGCGCAGCGGCCTGACACGCACTTAACACAAAGATTTCGGCCCACAAGGGCATTTCGCTCTACCCACATCTTTCAGGGGCATTTCGGCATATATCGCAACTTATGGGGGTATTTTGCAAATTATCCCCTCTTTTTAGTATTTATTTATTTATTTATTTATTTATTTATTTATTTATTTATTTATTAATTATTATTTTTTGAAAGCCGTCGTTGCAAGCCTATTATCCCAGCGGTGGTGAGAGAACCGTCGGAATTGAGGGCTTGGCTGTCAGGCTGCTCCATCTATTGGTGGGGAGAGACAACCCCGGGAAAAATCCAGCGTCCTTGAATGCATCACTGCAATACAAAGTTCTGAGGTTGTGGCTTTTACTCTGTGTTCGTACGAGATGCAGACGATACCCTTCCAATCGCAGAGCTGTGTCTTTGGGCAGCCCATCCCTTTAGTTGTGGCCGTTCCCTCGAGGAGAGCCAACTGTTTTCTTGGCCCCTTTGTCCTATCCTTATACCATGCCCAAGTGGGCCCTCTTTGTGCTTTGTATCTCCGCTGTCCTTTGGGGGGGAAGCCCCATGAAAGATCCCCTTCCCAGGAGCG